TATATATATATATTGATCGTTCTTTCTTTCTTTCTTTATTTGGGACGATAATTAACTCTTTATTTAACTCTAGCTCCCATCATGCATCAGTTCCGACGCTTACGAACCTGCACCCGCCTTCAACTGTGCACACAGATGCTCTGCTTTTACTTTGTGAAAGTTTTCAAAAGTGGTGACTTAATGTTATTTGACATTGTGCGGTTGTATTGACTCTCCATACAGTAAACTGACATGCAGTCTGTCGGTACTGTCGTCTCCTTGAGAAGGTTAACGTTGCTATAGCTACAGGTATTTACACAGTGCTGTCATGATGTGCTTTCCGAGAGCTTCTGTCGTATCGTTTAATGCTTAACGTCGATAGATATGTCGGTTGTAAGCTTACAGCTGGGTCAGTGTGGGAATCAGATAGGACACGAGCTCTTCAGTGTCATAAGCGATGATTTCAGTGGACCAAACCGAAAGAAGTACAAGCAGTGCAGTGATGAGAGATTATTTTATGAGAGGTCTACTGGAGGTAGGTTCAGCTCCCTCATATTTGCTAATAGCACTGTAATATTTTATATTTATTAGGTTCTTCATGTTTATGTCTTAACAGAACTTGTGGCGCGGTCAGTACTTGTTGATATGGAGCTCAAAGTTATCTCTCAAGCAATAGCCAAAGCTTCAAAATCTGGAAGATGGAGGTATGGAGACAAAGCACATTTCTCCCAGAAGCAGGGCTCTGGAAACAACTGGGCGAATGGGTAAGAAGTCCGCTCTTGGTTTGAGCTTTAAATGCGTGTTTGTCTTGTGTGAGTTTATTGTTGTTCTCTGAAGGTTCTGTGTTCATGGTCCGCGTCATGAAGAGGCTGTGGAGGATCTGGTTCGGATGGAGATGGAGCGCTGTGATCGTCTGGCTGGGATCTTCACCATGATGAGTGTTGCAGGCGGCACCGGTTCTGGTGTGGGTACCTACATCACTCAACGTTTGAGGGACTTGTATCCCAATTCCTTCATCCTCAATCAAGTAACAGCCATATGGAGCTGGTGAGGTAGTGAGATTTTTCTATTTTTAAGTATAAATGATACAGAAGCAGTTGGGTCAATGATATGAGATGTTTGTGTGTGTGTGTGTGTGTGGATCTGATAACTTAACCGAAAATGGCTTAAAATAAAATTCATTCATACAATGATTTGAATACACCTCTTCTATTATGAACACATTTTTAATTTCTGAACTACAATTCATATAGATATTTTTAGTGCTCATAAAGTCGAAAATGTCAGGATGAAACAATAATAAAAATCACGACAAGTAAACCTTTTTAAGTAGATTAGTAGCTTCACTGCTTAATAATAATAAAAAAAACTTGTCTGCCAAGTCAGTCATGCAGTGTGATCAGCAAACTCATGTGGTGCAAAACATGCAGAAATAAATCACAAACCTCTGCAGACCCTTATGACTGTCAAGCTGAAGAAGTTTCTTAAAATATCAGATAATTTGACCTTTTTATGACAATGCAAGGTAAGTTCAGTTTGTAAAAAGGCACGTGGTGCAACTCCTCAAAAACCTAATGATATTTATACATTTATAATTCATGATATTTGTTATAAGAATGTTTTACCTTTAAAAATTTTTTTAATTTGTTTGTTTTGTTTTTGTTTTGTGTTCCATATTATTCAATTTCCTTAAATGCTATTAAAATGTTATAAATGTTATTAAATGTAAACTTTTCATAAGGAAAAACCTTTGTTTTTCCATGCACTGGTCAATTTTGAGATTTTCTGGCTATTTTGCTTATATAGCATGTTTTTTTTTTTCAGACTAGTGAAAAGAAAACATCCAAAATACACATAAATTAATCTTTTTTTTTTTTTGTCGTTGCAACAAAGTTTGTAGTTGTATTCCTATTTATATTTTGAAAGTTTTTACAGAGGGGTTTATATCATTCATAGATAATTTGCCTTGTTTTTATAGATACAGTATTTTTTATTTCTAAAACATGGTTAAAATGTTTTTTGGGGTTTTTTTTGGCTGTTGTCATTATTTTTCTGATTTATGGAGTGATTAAAAGATATATCCAAAATCCCCTCTGTGTAAACTTTATAAACTCTAAACACTTTAATATGTCAACAAAATGAAACAAGAATCTGGCTCTAATATCCAGTGTTCGGATTTCTGTTCTGGATATTAATGCAAATGAGTGCATATTAAATGAAAGAATTCCACATTTGAATATATAAACATAACACTCTTGTAATACAAATACAAAAACCTCTTATTGTGCTGTGATTAATCAACTGGTGAAGTATGGTGATATCTATTAGTTTGTTTGTTTACCATGGTTCACCAGTGGTGTGCCTTTAGTGGAATAAAAGTTTTAAAACAACATAAATACAAAGAGTACGTTACTACGAACTTGGTACATATGCTTGAAACTATTTTTATCATTTTATTATTCATCCTTACACTGTCACTATTCACTGTTTATGTTGTTTTGCCTTTCCAGGTAATTGTGCAAAACTACAACTCTGTGCTGACACTGTCACACCTCTACCAGCTCTCTGATGCTATTCTGGTTCACGAGAATGACACTGTGCACAAAATCTGCAGCCGGCTGATGAACATCAAACACATCTCCATCAGTGACGTTAATAAGGTGATCGCTCACCAGCTGGCCAGCGTACTTCAGCCCGCTTATACCGCTGATTCACCCTGCCATTACAGCACAAACCCCATCGGTACAAATGACTCGCAGTTCACCTCCAGTTTCAGACAGTCATCAGGCAAAGTGGCACTCCTTTACCAGTGTTTATCTGCTGTCTGCAGGGGAATTACTGACTTCTTTGGTGTGTCACCCGGAGTACAAACTGCTCAGCTTGTGTAACATTCCTCAGATGTCCAGCACGTCTCTGGCCTATAGTGTGTTTAACTGGCTTGGGCTGCTCAAGCATTTACGTCAAATGCTCATCGCCAGCGCTAGGATGGAGGAAGGTGAGTGCTGTGATGTCACATATCCTTGTAATATTAGGAAGGATGTTTTATAAATGACACGTAATAGAAGAAATGCAAAATATTACTTCACTGATTGTCTACATAATGGTTTTGTGGAACTAAAGCACTCTTTCTGAAAGGAATTGACTGGACGGTAAGCGCCCCATCAGCGGTCACATCTGGAGGAGAGAGTGTGACTAACAGCAGGCATCAAAATTTCAATGTATTACTTGCTAATCTTCTAATACTACGGGGGAAAGATGTCTCTACTGCAGTTACGGGTAAGCCGATCTCCGATATACTGTCCTTCATTAAATAGATAGTTCACCCAAAAATGAAAATTGTCATCATTTACTAACTCTCAAACTTGTTTTTTTTCTTCTGTTGAACACAAAAGTAGATATTTTGAAGATTGTGTGTAACCAAACAGTTGCTGCTCCCTGTTGACTTCCATAGTATTTTTTCCGTACTATGGTAGTCAATAGAACCAACAAACTACCTTTTGTTCAGAAGAAAGAAACTCGTACAGGTTTGGAATGGCATGAAAGGGAGCAAATGATGAAAGAATTTTCAGTTTTGGGTGAACTATGCCTTTAACATTCATTTTTAATGGAAGCCTTCAACCATTTAGGGAAAAAATTAATAAATAGAAATAGTGCTGAATTTTGAAGAATATTTTTTTCTTTGGTTTACTGTTTATTTGTTTCAAAATCAGTTTGTTTGACCTCGAAACAAACGTAGTTAAAATTGAATACATTTAAACGAAAAAAATTCTATTAAACTATTTTTTTTCTAAATGACTGAAGGCTAATTACTTTTTTATTATTATTTAAACCATAATTTTTTATTTAGAAGTTTAACTTAACAGAGTTGTCTTAATTTTAATGTATGTTCCTTCAAAAAGGGTGGATACTTACATGTTTTCAAAGAATTATACAATGTATTGTTTTGTAAGTTGTGTAAGTAGTGTGTGTGTGTGTGTGAGTGTGTGTATACACACACAATTGATTTAAGCTGCTGTACGTCTTCGTTAAATTGAAGGGATTGTGTTAAATGGTGCCGGACTGTGGCTCAGGCATTGCATGTTATCTCTTTTTCATCCTCTGCCAATTAAATTTATATATATAGCACGCTGAATAT